CTGATTTTAATACCTAGTGAGACAGGGAGCTGCCTAGACAGCAGGTCACATATGATTTTAATACTTGGATAGGTGAATGAACACAGAGATTGAGAGATAGGTGTAAAGATGGATGCATGCACTCAGACTGATGCATTACTCTTTTTAGTGTATATATCTCTCACACATCCCCGCACTCTGTAAGTACTGTCCACAAAGTCAATTCTACTATAGCACGCATTAAATATTTCACTAAAATAAATAAATACATGACTCACAAGGACATCTTTCCTGAATGTTAGCTAGTATTTTATGCAAACCTCTTATTTATGCAGCGAAATGAAAAGATACATTTACAAAGGCTCTCTGGGAAACTATAGATCTTTGTCTGTCCTCTGACATTTATACACTTATACCAAATTCCTCTTTCTCCTCTCAAAAAAAAGCATCAGAGAGAAATCCTTTTTTTTTTTTTTTGAAAGTCCACTCAGCAAAAAATGAAGAGTAGAGTATCAGCCATTGTCCTGGGACATGATGAGTTAGAAGGTTTTTGCTGGATGAGTTTGTATTCTCTGTTCTGATTACTGTTTTGTTTTCCATTGATCCTCCTGTGTTAATAAAACCCAGGCTAGAGCGAACAAAAGCTTGCTTCTTGCTCAAGTAAGAAACGTGCAAGTGCATACCATATCATTAACATAAAAGTTTTTGAAATAATACTTTTTTCTAGACAGACTGTATTAATTGCATCAAGCTTTTTACAGCAGGGTGGTCTAATCTAGCTCTTCTCTTTGGCTGACTCCAGTTATAAAACCAACATAAAATGAATACAGTGATATAATAGATGAAGGAAAAAGTATTCTTTTAAAACCTATGATTTAGTTACAGGGACTGCTTTTATCTTTACTGTCACCTTAATCTCTGCCAAGAAAACACCAGACTAGTTAAATGAAGCAGTAAGTAGAATTTCAGTAGCCAAGTAAATTGATATTAACTTTACAAGATGACTGTGATTTTCAGAATGTCCTAATGACTAACACAGCTGATTCCTTGAATTAGCAGGAGCTTGTTCCTCTCTTCTGAGATATGGCCCCATGCCTTCCTCTATTTTAGACCTTAAATTTCACAGTCCTGTCCATTAATCACTGCTGTCCATGCCCACTTGCTGTTTTTATACATGCAACTAAGTATTGTAATTGCTTTCCACCTCCTTCCATCAGCCTACATGTAGGAAGGAAGCAGTTTCACTGGTTAGATGAATATATGTGTATTGGACAGATTTAATTATCTTTACAGGGGTATATAAAACCCTCACTCGTAGGCCCAGGTCCAAAGAATTTGGACCAGGTATATATCTGAATGCAGGCACAGGGGATTAATTATTCTCTGTGCCATTACGATCCTCTTTGTCTTATGCTGATTACGATCCTCTTCCTGGGGCTTTTGCACCACAGCATCTTCAAGGCAGGGACTTTTTTCTTTGGAGAACACACTGTAAAGTGCCGTGCTCTTCTGCGCTGAGATTTTCGATGCTCGTTTCTCGTTAACTTTAATGGGAAATGGGCATCCAAATCTCTTAGGCAGCTTTGACAATTTAAGCCTTAATGTACAATATTAATAAATCAGCATCATAAAAAGAGCCTTATGAAGACGTATTGTGAAAAAATAGCCCCACAAAAAGCATTGCAGTGTATGTGTGCATGCACACAAGCATATACTTTTCTTTACATAATTATGTCTCTCAACAATCATTTATTTGCATGTCTCTGTTATGCAAAAAAAAAACTCCGTGTGTTTTATAGTTACTCTGAGCGGTTGCAATTCATTGAAATGAAATAAAAAGCAGGCTCAAAAAAAGCACCCTAATCTGGCAAGGGGTAAAGTAAAATGAATGCTTTGCCCATTTATATTTTAGATCCAAGCTACATAACCCTGCGAATTTCATTACTCTATTCCAACTTCTAATTAAATAGACACTAAAAACATTTGAATGGGAGAACCCAATTCAACTGACAAAAGCTTCTGGGGAAAAATATATAAATAAATAAATATATTGAGAGAGATTGAGCCAGTGGTAGAGATTTTTTTTTTTTTAATCACATGAAAAAATGTGGACCTTCACTTGCAAATTCCTTGTCCTGAGCTGCCTTGAACACAAATAATTGAACAAAGACAGAGAGACCACAATCAGCACTGGCTGAGCAACACAGTGGACATCCAAGCAAACCTCCCAGCACCATTTGCTGTGATTGAAACTATCATCAGCACATTTTCTAAAGATCACTGACAACTGTGGATGAGGCAGCACGACTTCCTCTGTGCATGACTGAACACTACTCAGCATCCCAGGCAATCACTCTTATCTGTGTCGGAGATTTCCAAACGCAGTTTTCACACATGTGTACCCCAAATCCCACCAGAAGCCAGACATTTGGCTTCTCCAGCACAAACTGTTGTGAGGGACTCTTGAGGGCCCAGTTTGTGAGTGTCCAGCAAAGATTTTGGAGTACCTGCAACTTCAAGCCATCAGAGTCTCAGTCTGCTTGAGAACTGCATGGAAAATCTCCAGGTCCTGAATTAAATAAATGCTGAAAAACAGGAAAGGTAAGAAATGATGAAGGATGAGGGGAGGCGGGAACTGCTGATGGCTTTTGTTCAAAGAAGTAACCAATTCCTCAGAAGCAAGAACAGGGCTGACAGAATAAAAGGCTAATCAAGTCAGACAGACAAGCTGATCTCTAAAGCTGGAGCAAGTGACTGTTGTAAATGTCTATATTAAAAAAAAAGGCACAATGCAGGGATTGTCACTAGACTATTAATCAACACAAAGAACTCACATTTCTATCATTTCCACAAAACATTTTGGGCAACAGAAAGAATCCATAACCCGTACGTGAGCCTAGGCTCACATACAGTGAATACTATGGGAGCTAAGAAAGGGTTAAGTAGATATAATCTCCTTTTTCAAGGGAAGAAAATGTTTCTTTCAAGCAGACCTTGACCAACTACTGTCATAAACATGTAGCATGCACTTTGATAAAACCTATTCTCTAAGTGTCGCAGACTGCAGCAGTAATTACAGGAAGCCATGATAACAGGTCTCCCTCTCCACAGATCTGGCATCGCTTTCCCAGCAAACAGGCAATTCCGCAGACTCACAGCACACAGCTCCAAAGTGAGAACTCCAAGTACACAAAGTACAAAAGCCTCACCTTCCCCACATTCTTTAATAAGTTATTCCTTCCTTCCTTCCTTTTCTATTTTTAGGTGTACTTGCCTCCATTCCTACTAGCTGCTGGCATCAGAAGTAAGAGGAAACCAGGGTATCCAATTCAGTGTTACAACGATGTGCCCCTGCGAAGACATGTAAGTGCATACTACACCAGTGAAGACAGAGGACAGCAAAACAGAAGACCAGTTCCAGTTTGGTTTACTGGTTCCTGGGAGGAGAGAAGGCAGGGAAGCTTTCTGACTTTCTGATCGAACGCTCACCATTTGCAAGAACCTGTCTCGACATCCGTCTAGGGCCAGTTGGTCAGTCTGCCGAGGCTGATAAAGCAGAATTTCATTAAAACAGCATCCTCTGCCATACTGAATGCAGCAGCTTGGATAGAAAATGTAACCAGACCCTGGATTTACTGATGGCACCTCACCACACAGCACATTGCTACAAACCCAGACCCTGTGCACCAGTGCGAGCAGATGGATGGAGGCTGAGCATCTTTCAGGCAGCAAGGGCGCCTTCACTGTATGCCCTGAGCTTCACCCAGGACCTACACAGCACCCTGCAGAGTGCTCTTAGCCTCCTCCTGAGAATATTTTATCTTTCAAGACCCAGGGTTTCCAAAATACAAATTTGAATCTCTTGCAAAACTTTATATCTCACTTTATTTCATCAATGAGAGACGTACAGGAGTATTCTCATGAGATACAGCATACTGTAGCCAAGTGGTACCAGTGCTTGTGGAAGGAAAAAGCTAGCACAACAAAGTTTTGCCAGCTTCAGGGAAGAAATGAGGAGCCATTTCCCAAAGGCTTTACTCCTAACAGTCATTGCTGTGTCTCTAAATCCTTTGGTCCTCACACTTTACTTTTCCAGCACCATTTAGGGAACTCCTTATTAAAACTACATGCACATTATCAGGGATGAGGGCTGTGGGATTTGGCCCACCACAGTGAGAGTCCATAAACATTTGTGGATTTTGCCACATCTGTACTTTCTTTAAAACCCTCCCCATTTTCACCTCACCAGTCCAGAGTTTGTCATAGACCAAGTCTTGCAACTGAGCCATGCTCAGAAACACCCACTGATTTCAAAGAGATCACTGGGTCTGAAATGATGGGGTCTGGTGACAATATGTCTATGTTCTCTTTGGCTAGCTTGGTGTGCCTTCATTTTCACTTTCCCCTCCTCATGGTGATAAAAGTCAAGCATCCAAAAGGAATAAAGGAAAAGAAAAACTGATGGGGTAAGAGGCCAGGGATGCATGGTGAGTTACCAAGGAGCATTTTCTCAAAGCAAGGGAGAAAATAGCATGGAGCACATATATCCTGCGTGCACATGGATGTAGAGGAGAGCCTTTAATATGAATGACTGAAGAGGAAGGGCAAAAAAGAAGAAAATAAAAATACTTCAGATGCTATCCAATTAAGCTTAAAATAAACAGCCTAGAGAGATGAAACCTTGATACTGGGGTATCACATTCTGCAAGGAGTCTCAGACATTTGTTCACAACATGGCACAAATGGCCCAGCAGTGGCCGCAGGTGACAACTGAGGGTGGGCAGGCAGGAAGGAGGGATGAGGAAATGGAGGGAGTCGCATGCCCTTTCCCAACTCCTCATCCTCTTCCAGGGTGGAGAAGGAAGGAGGAAGGGAAGTGGAGGGAGGAGGGCAGGTTAGGGAATTTTCTCTGCCTTCCCCATGTGACCCAGCAAAGGCAGCTCTCCCACAGCAAAGACGACATCACTTGGCAGCACTACTGACCTTCAGATAGCAACAAAAAAAAAAAGTATTTCTATTACCTGACAACTGACAATGACATCCAAATGTGCCTGACGTCTCAGTCTGAATCTCAGTCTGAGTCCCGCCAACTGAGACTGCACGTGCACCACAGCAGGGCAGGCTAAGGCAGGGCGGGAGGGAGGCCAGTGCGCGGAGAGGTGACGTGATCACGGATGTGTGAGGGTGGGAGGAGGCAGCTATGGGAGCCCCCGGCAGGTTTGCAGGCCTGGACGGCCCTGGAGAAAAAACAATAGAAAAAACTGTCAGTCGGATCTAAGTTTGAAGGGACAGAGGAGGCATCAAACAAGCGAAGTGGGGGCTGGCTGCCTAACGCACAACACGCTTGGTCTGAACCCCTCTCTGGGTCCGGCTGAGGCTGGTGGGCTCACGCTGGGTGGGGAAAGAATAAGAAGAGACCTGGAGGACCTGCGAACCCAGGCTGAGGGCCTGTGTGGGCGTGGAGCGGGGTGAAGGTGGGGGATAGCCAGCCCTGGCACAGAGCAGAGCCAGAGGCGGCGGACGTCGCCACCAGTGCTTGCTCAGGGACCGAATCAAAAGGGGGATAATTGTTTTACGGCTGTGCTAATGCACTGAGCTGACACAAAACTGGGCAGGCTTTCTGCCGAGCCGCTGCTGAAGCGGGCTCCACACACCAGCCCGGACAAAGTGCGGTGACTTAGAGCTCAAATGGCTTCAGTGAGGTGCCAGGAGCTGAGCTCCCAGAAGGAAGCCTTGGCGGCCATGTGCTGCCTTCCCGCTTGAGCTGCAGCCAGTTGTGCATTTTGCATGCCCCGATTATGCAGGCTGATTCCCTACTGAGCCTGCAAGGAAGGGAACAACCTTTTTCCTGGTAGCTAAAAGATGATATTGTAACCTATAACCTTATTATTTATTTTTAACCCCTCTAGGAATCACCTGCCATTTAAAAGCTGTATTTAAGAGTTTTCTCCTGCTCCGCTGGAAATGCTGGCTCCTCCTGGCACTAGTCCAAACTGAATTCTGTGGCTTTGAAAAATTAAGATACAAGTCTTAAATATCGACATACACCTGCACAAATACAGACACACACATACAGAATCATGTAGGAGTCACGTTTTTGGCTGGCACAACTTAGCAGACTTTAAAGGGAAGCTGAGTGAACAGCACTACTTTCCATTCATTGGGAATCCCAACCCCTCCATTTCAAACTATTCCTGCCACTTAGTTATTAGCTATTAGCTACTAATCAAGGCCAGTTTCTACATGAAGAAATGCGGTGGAGTAGTCACCATTAAAAAGTTGGCATTTGCCAACAGTTACCGCACAGTGGTAGATCAGAAACCACAGTTTCCCCCGTATTTAGATCAGGAAATATGTGTGCTAATTGTGGGGTACCTTCTGGCAAATGCTTTCTTTCTAAATGGTGGCATTTCTGGCTGCGCATGATTGTGCACCTTGCAGATAGATGCAAACACCATGGCAGCAAGCAGAAACATTTATCTGTGTTCCCTCCAATCCTAGCAAATACATTTCCCAAAGGAACCTACACTGTGGCAGCAAGGAATAATATTTATCCATGCTCCTTCTGACCCTAAATATGCAACATTCTCCAAGGGAGCCTCTCCACCTTGAGAGTCCCTATTTGGAAACCAGGCCTGCATGTTGATCTGACAGCTACACATGTGAGGCAAATGGGGATACTTCATCCTTGGCACAGCATCCAGCGCTCCAGTCTGCAAGGACTGCATTTGATTTTGGCGTTTATCTTAAATGGCTAAGAGACCACCAGTGCAAAACATTTGTGTGAAGCTTTTGCCAAAACCACAAGTGAAGAGTCTAAATTCCCTGTGTAAATACTCGAGCTTCAAGCATCGAGGATAAAATTTGTGCTGTGTTTTGAGGACTGGTTTTAAATAGAAGCCATCTCTGTGGCTTGTGGGACAAGGAATGACTTTTTTATTATTATTTTGGGAGTTCTGTTGTTTGACTTTTGTAACTCTTTGATCTCTCTGGAAGTACTATACAAGCAAGTATGATAACTGCTATTCAGATCCTACCTACATTGCATTTCTGGCAAGACTGTCTGCTGTGCCTGTGGAGGCAGATGTTGGACATGGATTCTATGTGTGTAGGCACCACTCTACTGCCACTGTAACAGATATGAATAATGTTTGCTTTTTTCATGGAATAAGGAAAGAATAGTACAAATTCCTTCTAATGACTTAACTATTGTATATTATATTCCTAATACAATAAAAATTGCTAGGCTGTGTTGAGCTGCTTGGGCACTTGTCCTTGCTTAGAAATTCATCAGCTTGAAATGGAGATTTAGAGTAAAACCACAGGGCAGCTACATCTCAAGTTACACTGAGATGTGTTTGTGGTTTCACCATGACTAAGGCTACAGGTCTTGCAGTCACTTGGCACTCTATATATCATGATGCCTTACTATGGGTTTTGAAGGAGATAATCACACAGAAAAACTATATGAAGTCCACCAAATGCATCATCTGACTCCACTGCACAGGGTTTTAATGTGGAGGTCCATGGGCCCTGGCACACAACACTACCCTGGGAGTTATGGCCTCCTCTCTAGCCCTGGTGTGTTCCATATGTCCATTGGCAATTAATTGAATGTAGTTTGCACAGCCCTGAGGTGTACAAGAAGATGCAAAAAGCTGTCATCAAGGAAGGCCTTCCTAGACCTTACTCAGCACATCTCTAGTGTGGAAAGGGAATAAAGGTCTCAGATAGGAGATTGCTTACCATCTGGTCAAAAGGATCCTGTAGGAGCCTCCCAGCAGCGCTTCTGGGGGCAAAACAGCAATCTGTTTTATCAAGGTACCTAACAATTTTAGCAGAAGAACTGTATGAACCAGATGCCAGTGAATGGATAGAACTGAAACTATCACTTAGAAGTTCTTTTTCTTGTCCTCACCCTGGAGAAGAGAGGCTCTGGGGAAACCTTATAGCAGCCTCCCAGTATCTGAAGGGGGCTGAGAGGGGGCTGGAAAGGGACTTCTTACAGGATACGTGATGATAGGACAAGGGACAATGGAATTAAATTGACAGAGATAGGTGTAGATTAGGTTTAAGAAAGAAATTCTTTACTGTGAGGGCGGTGAGAGACTGGAACATGTTGCCCAGAGATCTGTGCTCAAGACCAGGTTGAATGGATCTTTGAGGTGTCCCTGACCATGGCAGGGGCATCTGTTCCAACCTAAACCATTCTATGATTCTATGATTTGATGTTGTCCAGGACAGATGTAAATTTGAGGAAATCTAAAAATTGCTAACCTGGTATCACAAAAGAACAGATTGGTAAGGGAGAAGAAGAGTGGACCAAGAGAGACTCTGGCAGATGATCAAGTATTACCACCAGCACTCCCAAGTCCAGCACTAAGAGACAAATATCATGCAGTTGCCAGACAAGGAGACTTAAGTCTACCCCTACAAGCAAAGTCAAATGAGGTGATTCCTCCTCCTCTGTACTACCACTTCAAGGTTTACTTCTTTGTTACTAATCAGGATGGTCCTACAGAATCAGATCAAGAGGAAAATCATGAAGATGGAAATCATATCCAGTGGCCTCAAGAAAAGGCAGGGAGAAAAGGAGGGGTCCACCATTAGGTACATGATACCTCTTCACAGTTATACAAAAAATAACACTTGTGTTCAAAAATACTCAGCTTGTATTTGCAAGAACATATTCTCATTTCATCTCTTAAGCTCCTCTCTGTGGGATCCTAGGTGTATTTTTTATTCCACAAAGGGTCTATTTTAAGCTGAAAATGAAGATGGAGGCTCTTCAACTTAACTGTTACAGATGGCGGACAAACACAAAATGACCAAAGATGAAAAGAGAGCTAGATTAGATAGATAGACAGACAAATGATACATAAATAGAGATAGATAGATAGATAGATAGATAGATAGATAGATAGATAGATAGATAGATAGATAGAATCTTAAGGTGGTGCAGAGTGTTTTTTGCTCAGCCCACACAGCAACAGGCATGGGAGTGGAGCTGAGGAGCTGATCTTTGGAATTCTACATCCAATCGACCACATCACATTTTCAAAGAGAAAACACACCTGCGAGCCCCTGACTGCCACAAAGGGCATAGCCACAATCAGCAGCAAAGGGAAAGCAAACCGCAAGAACTGCAGTGCAATCTTCGAGGCAAATATCCCATCTGGATGGGGAGAGCAGGCACACACATGCAGCATTGTGTTGCTCGGACATCCCTGACACGATGTGTGAGGCTCGATTTTCCTCTTGGGTCAGCACTGAGAAATCACTCACCTGCACTGCAGATCTCAATTATATATTCTGCATTCATTCTGCATGGAGAGTTTTGCACACAGCATGAGTGTGAAACACGCACAGGGACTGTCACCATGTAAATAAAACATCTGCATTGCTGATGGTAAAGGAAGATTTAGTTCTCGTACATTAAACAGGCTCAGTATATCCTCAGAATACATGGCAGTAGCTCACAGGTGATGTTGACTTCAATGCACCACTAAGAATAATTTTCTTTTTTCTCTCTGCTATTTTTAAACTTGCAAAGAAAATAAGGGAAATTGGACATGACCCCAGATGGAAAATGGAAAAGCCTAGATGAACCTGACAAAAGCCACAATCAAGGCATAAATTGCATCCTTTTGTTGCCCCTCTCCCAGAGCCTAGGCATGGCTGGCCATATGATATGGTGTATGTAAAACACCATGATCCTCTGGCACATCTGCAGAAAAGTCCCTGAGCAAAATACAAAGGAGCCAAAGCAGCATTCAAAATGTCCCACCTTATCATGGCTTAGATCAGGGGAAGCAATCTTAACTTAAGAGACCTGACTTTACATCTCATGTCACATATAACTGCAGCCACACGTAGCTGGTGTGTCCCAGGGGTTGTGTGCTTGGCTGTGTTGGTGCCTGGGTGGGGATCCGTGTACAGGCAGACAGGCAGGTGCACAGGCAGACGTGTGAGCTGCTTAACAGGGCACAAAACAAGTTTTCCTATGTGTTTCTCTGTGCCTGTCTGGTGATAGAAAATCCAATCACTAGCTGGTTAGAGAATAAAGCTCGGCTTCATTATTAAAAAAATCTCTTTCAATAAAAAGAAAAACATCTGTTCAAACAGTGTACGGCTACAAATTTGGAGTGCAGGCTGAAGCACTGCCCTGTGCCCGTCATGTTCATAGAAAATACTGCAGATGTTTTGAAGGGAGTTTTATATGAACCATTGCAGCAGG